GTAGATTTTCTCTCTAATTATTATTATAAGTTCAAAAACAACGGTCAAAAGTTATTTTGACAGAACTTCCCTCGCCCCTAAAGTACAATAATACATACAGATTTTTCGAAAAATTAATTTGATGAATTTTATTTTTTATGAGAACCCCTATAAGTTAAAATAAATATACTTATGTAATATTAAAGCAAATAAGCAGTGTAATATTAATAGTAGTATTGCATTCAGGAATTTTCTGGAAAATGGAGTGAGCCGTTCTTGGGTTAATCATTAATCAATAAAATACATTGACTCATTCATAAATCTTTTGACCACTCTGCATAAGTAATTCTAAGCAATATGAACGCCATGATAAATCGCAAGTATAAACAGTTCATATTTTGCATATTTCCGATAGTATTTATTCCGCAAAATTTTGAGATAGAGTTGTCAATTTCTTCTGAGGGATAAACAGAGATATTTTAATTAAAAAAAATACTATGCTTGCAAGAACCTTAAAATGTTTGCAAGACTTCAAAGTAGATTCAAAATTAAATTGTTAAATGTTGTTGAACAATTTTGATTTTCAGGTAATAACTCAACACGAACTCATAAAACTATGTATTACCATACAATTTCGATTACAGTACTTCCTTAGCGTACGCTTGGGTAATAAAAATAGTTAATTGCTCATTTAGGATGTAATATGCAAGCAGTTCTAACATTAAGTACAGCACGATATTATCTTGGATGAACATTTTAAATAGTAGGGAGGATCGAATAATGTTATTTGAAGGTTCTTTTTACTTTGTACACACACTGTCAAACGATCATCCCATTACAACAACTTTTCATTATCTTCTGTTTGTCGTTATCTACTTTTACAATTTTCACTAAAGTAGAAGCTAGAACTTATAGTTCACGAAAATAGTATATTCAAAATTTACCTATTTGGATAGAAATTTCGAAATTATAATCCCAATATGAAATGAAATGAAATGACGAACAGGGCAGGTGGAACCGAAAAGATTTACGATTGTGGCTTTGCCTTTTTAAATCGTTCCATTGTCGACATCACACTACTTTAATTGTATAACAGCCATATCACCTTAAAGAATCTGGAAGATACTATCGGAGATTCCAACTTCTTAGGAAAATTATAAAATTTAATTTTGCGAATTTTATTTTTTTATGATATCGCCGTAAGTTAAAGTAAAGATATGTGTGGACTGTTAAAATTCAGGTGAAGAAGTATGCTATGTGATGTTTCAGTATGTTTTCATAATAAAATTTTGTGATGACGTAACCAAATTTTCGTAAAAATGGGATGAACCGTTCTTAATTTGATAAATAAAAAAGTTGGAGTTGACGGAATGTTTTACCACTGCGCCACAAATCGTTTCACATTGATTCGTATTATGTTTCTAAAGAACAGATTCACTACTATTAGGATTAAACAATAAAAACTGAAGAAATAATTCAAAAATCAAGCTAGATTCATAAACCGGAAACATGTTATTTTATAAAATTTAACTAGCATTTACCATGAAAACTTTTTAGGTGACGTCAAATCGTTGGTAGGATGATCAGAAAAATTTTGGTTTGTGTTTTACCATCTACATAATATTTACAAAATACTTACATATAAAATTTCACAATGATCACCGCAGTAGTTTTGGAGGTTATCTGTCTAAAGTATTATACAAATGCGGAACAGATGACAAACGACATTGAGATGGAAATGGAAGATCTATTTTTTCGTATTCTAGGAGTCGTGACATATTGAGAAAACTAAAGTAACCATTCCACAGATGGACAGTGGAATCTGATTATACCGACACCGGCTATAGCAACAGTTGGGATATAAGAAAAATTTTGATGTCCCGTCTATAAAGTCATATAGAGATCGGCTATAACGATACACATTTCTAGCGATACTTCGGTTGTTGCACCAATTTGGAAAAATTGGTAACATAAAGGTGATCTTGTAAAACAATGATGTTGTAAAACATCTTAACTGCAAATGTTTCATATACGCAGACGACCTAAAGATGGTTAACATCATAAAATCTAATAATGATTGCTTAAAGCTGCAGCGTAATTTAGATAATTTTATTACTTGAAGTTGTATTAATAAACTCGAAATTAATGAAGACAAATGCAAAATCATGAGTTGTACTAGAAAGATAGATAAAATTAATTTTCATTATAATATCAATGGCGTGCTGTTACATAATTGATTCTATTTTGTCTTTCGTCCCACATATCGAACAAATGGTTAATAGCTCTCTAAGAACGGTAGGGTTTATTATAAGAAATGGAACAGATTTTAAAGAAGTATTTATTATTAAAATATTGTTTTATACTTTAGTGAGAAGCAAACTTGAATATTGTTGCATAATTTGGATGTCTTATTATCAAGTTTATATTAACCTCATTAAAAATATATTATGTAAAATTGTTAAATTCATCTAGTTTAAAATGTATGGTACTTATCCGCCTCAGCACTGTGATTCAAGGGCGTTATTTGATGTTGTAGATAAATCCTCACTTCAAACTCGTAGAAATATGGCATGTATATCTTTTATGCAAAAACTGATAAACGGTAACATATCTTGTACGTATATATTATAGTAGACAGTATAAAATTTGTTTGTCCACGCGTAAACTGTCGCACTCCAACAACATTTTATTACAAAGTACCATGTACTTATCACCATTTTAACAGTCCACTAATGAGACGTTTAAGACTGTCTAATTTTATAATACCTCATGGCGTAGACGTATTTTTTGGAAACTTTTATAATCCAAGACTTAAAGCTATTAACTGTTTGTAGAAATTTTTAATTATTTGTAAAAAGTTTTAATTAAGCGTATATATTTTTATTTACACCACAATGTAAGTAAACGTATCATATTTTTTCCTCTGTTCACTTTAAGAACCTGTTAGTTTTAAGTTGAAAATTGTTAGTTGTTTTTCCGAATTAATGTTTACAAGTATGTATCTACTAATGTAACACTGTGAGTTTGCACCATAGACGTTAGTCTGTTGGAATTAAATTATGTTTATTATTATTATTAATATTAATATTATTATCTTTTCGGAGAAAGATGATATCTGGAAATTCTACCTGTACATTCCACTCAGTATCCCACAAGACCCTTAAAATTGTGAAAACAATTTGTTTAATTTCCTCATTTTATTTTCTATTCTCTATCGTGATAGCTGAAACTCCTAACAAGAGAAATATTCTAAATATCAAACAAAAATTATTAACAATAATTAGGGATTTACAAAAATCAAGATAAAAGACGCTTATAAAAGAAGAGAGGCAAGTGAAATGTCTAAGTAAAGCGGATCATCGGGACCTGGATTCAGCATTACTGATCTGGTTGAATAAGCGGCAACGATGTTTGAACATTCTAATTAGTGGTCTAATTTTGCAAACAAAATGTGAAGATGTGACATTATGGTTAATTTTTCTTTTTACAATTAATTAAAAACAAGGTCTACCAGATATATCTGTACCTGCTGTTATTGAAAGGTACGTACAAAATAAAACCAGCAATTGGTCTCGAAGTATAGGTGCTAAAATTACAAAAAATTTCATATAAAAGTGTTCTCCTTTTAAAGATAAAAATTATTAAAATTTATGTCTAAATTCGTCGTACGCCTCTGATAAAAAGGTCATCTTTCGTTTCTATAGCAACAAAAGGGTATCTTATTTTTTTATTATTGTTACAGTTGCTAGGATTTACAAAAATAAATTAATTTTACCTATTTATCCTTCAGTAGCGTCTAAAAGGTTGGATAGGGTTTAATTTTCCCCTTATAATTTTGATAACACAAATAAAGTTTTTCAGGGTTTTTAGACTTCCCGAAGAACTGTCAATTTTGTTGTACGCAGTGGCGTAGCTAACTTACACTACGCCCCCCCCCGCAATTTATAGTAAGCGCCCCCATACACCAAATTTAAAAAGTAATATACATACAGTTGCGGCCCCCCAAAAGTGCGCGATGTTTCGTTGTTATGGAATTTTTTGAATTTTTAAATTAATGTAAGTCTGGCTATTACCAGCGGCGTAACAGTTTTCAATAAACAAAGTGTCAAATTTGACAAATTTTGTTATTCGAGCGCCCATGATTTGAGGATACATTTACAATAGAGAAAATTATCGTGCAGTTTTCGGAGGCCGCAACTGTATGTATTTACTCGTTTGCACATTTAAAAAAAATATATCGGTTACGTTACCGTCTGCGCCCCCCCGCATCGCGGGGTCTGCGGGGGTGCTATTTACGCCACTGGTTGTACGTAGTACGTACCTTTCAATAACACCCTGTATATATATATAACTAAATTATGATAAAAATTTAATAATAAAAAATAAAGACAGCAGACGTAACAGAGGGTTTAATAATAATTGGTATGATAAGTATAACTTGCCCACGGCAAGCGAAAAGTGAAAAAAACTTTACTACTGAAGTTGTCTTTTATTTTCTGAGACTAAGCAAAGTCCTTAGACTGGTGGCCACGACGTCTTAAAACACCTATCCGAATCATTGCAGAAACATGGACTCAGAACAACATACTCATGCCTCTTTAAAATTTAAATTGTTTGGGAAAAATAATAGTCAAAGTTCAATAGACTCAGCCCATGTTCAAAGTATTTTAAAATATAATCAACTGGTTTAAGAAAATAGAGAAATGATAACGAGGCTGATTGATATGATCATTTATTTAGCTACCCAAGAACAAGCACTCCGTAATCACAATGGATCAAGAGATTCTTTAACTCAGGGAAATTTTGGGCTGTAAGAACCTCGTCATAGAAAACATACTTATTTTCGATTAGGTACCTAGCGCTTCACCAGCTTGTCCAACCTACCAAAAATCTCACGAGCCGCCACAGTATACCTATAACACGCACGTAACTAATATTAACACAATAATTAGATTTTATTCTAAACTTTAGCATTTTTACTAATCTGTAGATTATTATATACAATATGTTCTTCTTTTCAGGCAATCTCCGACCTACTTCTTGGTGTGTTCTGCATGCCTTTCACCTTAGTCGGCCAAGTTTTACGGAACTTCATATTCGGCGCGACTATGTGCAAACTTATTCCATACTTTCAAGGTAACTTTTTCCTTAAACGAATTTACACAAGCTTAAACCTATGAATTTAAATTTAATATGTCTGATGTTCGTTTTATTAAAAAAAAAAACATAATTTATTCAATATTTTTGCCATACGAATATTTGTACGAAGCTTTATACAACGATTTTTTGAAGAAACCTCATAAACAACCTTTTCAATATTGTGTTTTTTTATGAATTTATTTTCCAACTTCGTAGTGAAGGCAATACATCCTTTTTCTGCTTTGTAGTCATTTCATTGTTTATTTATTTTGAACTTCTAGTAGTCAAAGTTAACGGTTTCTTAAAAGCCTTTTGTATATTGAGATCGGCATGGGCGAATTTTTTGTTTCATACTGAACTATTCCCATTCGTATATGTGTGCATACCCTCGTTCTTATTAGCACACGGCAATCAACATAATTTGTAAGCTAATTATCCTTAGAAAGGACACATTTTAACAAAATTAAAGAGAAATGTCAGTACTCCTAGAAGGACAATTAATTTTCTTAAATAAATTAAATTAAATAATCGTACCTAAATGCTGAACATATTTCTGATGTTTTCGAAGCATAAATGAGGTCTATCGATCACACACCTCAACATCTTTACATTATTGTTGTATGTCGTCAATTTCTTCTGTTATTCTTACATTAATTATGTTCCAAAAAATAGTGTTCTTTAAATAGAAGCACAAAAATGTCTACAAGGATAAGATCATAAGATCTTGAGGTTTCTACTATGATGATCCGGTTGTCAAAAAATGTCTGTAACATTGCTTTTGTGATCTTAGCCGAAAGCGCTGTAGCCCCGTTTTTTTTTTTCGAAATAACCTATTTCCATTTCGTCGTTGTGAAGTTGTGGTATAAAATCTGTTGGATATTGTTGATGAAATCACAAATTCCTTTAACAAAGGTATTTTCACTACAATTTCTTTTCTAGATCTTACCAAGGCCTTCGATTGTGTTTCCCATTCCATTCTGATTCGTAAACTTTATTTCTATAATTTACATCCCACTAGTTATCGTTTATTGTCATTCTATCTCTGCAATAGAATCCAAAAGGTCACGGTTGATGGAACATCTTCTGATTTTTCCCTGTGGAATATGGCGTTTCTCAGGGATCTATCTTAGATCCTCTTTTATTCTTAGTGTACATCAATGACCAACCATCCAATATAGAAGACTCAAAAGTTATTCTATACGCTGATGACACCACCATACTCAACAGCAGTAGCAGTCTAAATGACCGCATTGATAAAAGTTTGGAAGCACAATCTAAGGCAAAACTATGGTTTGATACCAACAGTTTAGGCACGAATGTCGACAAATCGGTGTACATGTTCCTCAGTCTTAAAACCAGCGTAACATTAAATTTAGGTCAAGCCAATAATGCACTTTTTCTTGGCACTACCATCGATGACCAGCTTCTCTGGAATGCCCATGGAGATACATTAGCTAAGAAACTAAATAAGAACACATACCTTTTAAGACAACTAAGTAATAATGTATCACAAAAAACATTAATAGTTGTCTATTTTGAATTTTTTCACTCTTCAATTGAGTATGGTAACTTAGTTTGGGGACATTCTACTTGTCGACACAGGATATTTGCTCTTCAAAGGCGTGTTGTTCGGATTATAGCTGGACTTCAGTACCGTGATGATTGCAGATCTGCATTTGTTGAACTTAAAATTTTAACTGTGCCTTCAATTTTCATCCTACATTGTTTATTATATCTCAAAGACAATATTGGCAATTATTCTAAGTTCACTGACATTCATTTGTACAACACCCGAAACAAAAAAAAAAAAATTAGTTCCCAATTCAAATCGTTTGAAGAGGGTACAAACAGGCACAAGATACTTCGCTGTGAAATTTTTTAATGTGTTACCCGAAGAATTTCGTAGTAAGCCTATTAATATATTTAAAAAAAAAAAACTCAAAACTTTTCTTATTATGAATTGTTTTTATAGTTTTGAGGATTATCTTCGATGTAGAAATTTTAAGAGTTTATTGGTTTAATTTATTATTTGACTTGTGTAAAACTGTATTTGTAAGTTTTTAACACCAATAAAGTATTGATTGATTGATTGATTGACTGATATCTGGCAGCGGTTAGGTTACCTTGAAGAGGATTACACTGAATAAGCCGTTTAACCACACAATTGTTATTGCTATGATTACCTTCTTATGGTGACCCTACTATCTGTCGTTGGCTGGATGCAGCCCAAACACCAAATTTTTGAGGATAAATGATCAGAAGCATATGTATTTTCGCAATATATCTCGACAAATTTTATATGATAATTCCAAGTGCTGCTCTAAATACCTTACGGGTTTGTTACATTATCTGTCTAACATTTGCAATATTTTCTGAAGTTCTCTTTGAACCTTCAATTCCCAGCCTTTTTATTACAGGGACGAAGTTCCTCAAAACTTTGTAACATATCGTAAAATGACTTTCAAAAATGAACATAGCCGGCGATGTTCATGGAAAATTCTTCCCGGAATTCATCCCAGACCGCTTAAATCGAGCACCCCCACACGCTGTTTATCTTCTGTTCATTCGAAAATACGACTCATCATAAACGCTGTCTGCTCCAATGGAAATACCAAATAGGGAATTAAAATTAATTTTCTTAAAAACATTTTCCTTACGACGCGACGTAACATTCGACGCAGCATTAAACATATGATTTCAGAGAAAAAAAAACTGATTCAATTCCCAGAATGATTCGATTACAAATCATGTTGATAAAAACGGTTAAATATCTTGAGATCCAATTGTACAAATCACCTGAAATTAGGTACAACAAGTACAAGTAGTTGTGCTCTAATTATTCGTCAAACAAATTTTTCTTGCTTGATTTGTTTTTAAGATGCAACGGCAACTTAATTTTTTTTTTAATGGTACTACGTACGCATACGTAACGAATTTGCTAGCATTCGTCCAAAACTCCTCATTAACTGACTACAAAATTTTATTCGGGGTCTTTTTTACTGCCAGGAATTAAGATCAGAAATAAGGTTTGCAGGAAATGAGGGCAACAGGGACATGTGGGGAAACTACAACCTTTAAGGCGACGATCGACTAGTGTAGCAATTGTAAGGTAGCGGGAAAGGAATTTGGTCACTCGATGTTTTCCAATACGTGCCCGAAATTTGTACGGCAGCTAAGCGCGGTCAGGAAATTTATTTATGGCCCTTAAAATCCTGCAAGCAAATTGTCGGGGTTGTTATAATGTGATGTGCGACATAGGGAATGTACGAGAGAGAATGATATAAGGGTGACGTTGTTGCAGGAACCGTATGCAAGAGACGGCCAGGTTGTTGGTGTGCCTGATGATATGAGAGTGTATATGTCCGCTGATGATGGTGGCATGGCTGTGTTGATAGATGATAGAGGTATGGATGCTGTACAAATAAGCGTGGAAGGTCAAAATTTGGGAGTATGTGTGAATATAGACTGTGAGTTGGGCAGTACGGGTGTGGCGTCTGTGTATTGTCTATATGGGGATGAGATTGGACCGTATTTGGAATAGATAATGAGGGTGGTGGTTGAATGTGATAATGATAGGTATGAGAAGCCAGTGTCGTCTCCCCCCTGTGGTATAGTACCTAAGTATGTGAGGACAGGTCGTGAGAGTGGGAAGAGAGTCGGGAATTCGGGAATTGTTGTACATAAGGTTTCAGTTTGATTTTTGCCCATAGCTGCATTTCGAGCAACCTTTCTCTACCTTTCCAAACTCAAAGTTGCTTCTCATTTACAAAAAAAAAATATTGGCGGCATGTTGTCGAAGAATGTGGCGCCGCCAGCGTTAATTAAGAAATTCCATTTCTTTTATTTTTCATACGCTTCAAAAATTAAAATCTCATTGAAGTGTGAACTTGATTCGTAGAACGCAATATATCTTTGTAGACTGGCCCATCATCATATTGAATATTATGCACCAAAATGTTCTTTCACAGTTTTGTTGTTCTCGAGGTTATTTGATTTGTTTTTGCTCAGGTTTTGTACCGATTCATTTTGTTTTATATTGGTAAATGTTATTAGTCTTTAATAGATTTTCAAAATATTTAACCCATTTTTCTAATGAAATGATTTTCGCTGTGTTTACCTATGTGTTGCATAAATAATAATTTGCAATACCCCTACTTTTGAAAAATTTGATTGTATGTTGTGCATTAGTTTAATAATACATAAAAAATACAGAAACATGAATCCTTATTATTCTTCACAGTTGCTCAGTTTTTTTAAGTTTTCTGTGGGATTTGCCTTTAAGTTTGAAAGATCTTTCTTGGTCGTATTTTTGAACTTAAATTTTTTACACGGGTCACTAATCCTTTCGTTATTTTAATAATATCGGTTTTTGTTCTACTCATAAACTTGAGCGTGTTATACGTTTTTCAGCTGATTTTTGTATTTTCATTATTTAACTTTACTTCACATAAATAAGTTGATTATATTTATTTTATAGTTAATATTGTTACCGGCGAATAAAAATCCGGCGTAGGCAAAACTCAACAATTTATTTTTTAATAACTCGCATTTACACGACTAACTATTGCAACGATTATGTACAGAAATTATTCCGGCGAATTTCACTGGACGCTCTTGATTCAATTAGCTGCATGAATCTATTCCCTCTGGTGGCCTCTATTTAAACCTATGCGTTCCTCTCGATGGATCCAGAACGCTGCATCGAGAGTCTTCTGGGCCCGCAATCGAGACTTCCGGTAAGCCGCCCCAGACTTGCCTTTGTGGAGTCGCGTCGACACCGTCAGCAATGATGACTCACCCATCAACGTCCAGAAAGCCCTCGGCGGCAATAGGCGTCATACCGGCGCAGCGTGTGGGTTTATTTCGTAACAATATTTTTTTTTTTATTGTAGATTCCGTTATAAACCCTTTTTTTATAGTCGGAAAAAAATACTTGGACATTTAATTTATTTTTTCTGAAGCTCATTTCCTATTACTTAATTTACAGCGTGTCTCCCTTAATGTTAATTACTACTAAATACTAATTCCACTTGTCTTGGCATATCTCGTTCCTGGTTTCACATAAGGAACCAGTTACTTACCTATCTTTGTGTAACTTTAATTTCTTCAATAAAGATTTAATTCTCTATTGTCACAATGTAGCACCTAAATGAAATTGTCCTTATCTACCTCCCTCAAATCAAGATAAATATAACCTCCGTCAGTGGCGATAGCGTCATCCCCCGAAACATTCCCGAAAGAAGGTAGTAAGGAGAAATTACAAGATCTCAGCAGCCGTCCATGGAGTTTTAAAGAAATTTAGCAAACTCGTTGCCAATAATGTAGTCCTCAATATTTTATAATTTTGCTACCGCTTGCAAGCCTACGTTTTTGTTCAAAAACAATCAATAAGAAACGGGTCCCGCATATTAGCAAACATACCTGAATGATTTTAAAAACAGAAAATATAAAAAATTGTAAAAATTGTAAAAACTATGTTTTACATTTTATACACAAAAAGATTTTATCGAGCTGAACTCTCGTAAAACCTCCGAAGAAGGGTTTCAACTTTAATGATAAAGATATAATATTAAACCGTGGAAATTAAGGTTTCATATACATAATGAGAATGGGTATAAAAGAACCAAGTAAAACGGATATTTCAAAATTTGTTTTCTAAGCAATAGTTTTTATTATGAGTACCTATCATTATATCAGCTAGTGGGAAACTACTACATGAAAAAGAACAAATACCTTCCGTATTTATTAAATAACTTTTTCAACAATATGTAGCTATAAATATTCATATCTTGCCCCAAGGTGCATAAACATATCCTTCTAACTTTCAATATTTCTCTTTTTCAGCCGTTTCAGTTTCAGTTGGGGTGTGGACCTTAGTAGCAATATCTTTGGAACGGTATTTCGCAATTTGCAGGCCTTTAAAGTCCCGTCGTTGGCAAACACAATTTCATGCTTATAAAATGATAGCCGTTGTGTGGTTGGCAAGCCTGTTTTGGAGTGCTCCGGTACTGGCCGTTTCTTCCCTTAAAGCAATGAAGGGTCGAGGTAACAATTATAATCCATGATTTTTTTAGTTAGAGAGCTTGAATTTTTTACAGGTCATAAATGCAGAGAAGAGTGGCCTAGCAAGAGCAGCGAACAAGTTTTTAACTTGTTCTTAGATGCAATGTTGTTGCTAATTCCGGTTCTGATTATGAGTCTTGCTTATTCGTTAATTATGAGCAAACTTTGGAAAGGCCTCCGCAGGGAAATTCAGCACAACACCTCCTTTCAGCAACAAAGTGAGTACATTTCAATTTGTTACAAGTGCATAGTAAAATACGGAGGTGTTTTTTTTTTGAGGTTCTTAAATTTGTACAGGCATAAACTAATGCGCGTGGCATAGCAGTTAATTAGGAGCCTTTGTAAGCGCGTTTAGACCAATTAAAGTAATTTTAGATGTCTACCCGTGTGTGTTTGTATTAATGAAATTTGTCCTCACAACAAAGAAGAGTAAAGTTAAAGTTAGATTAACATCTTAAATATAAGATAGCAAAAGTTCGTGCATAAACTGTGCTTGGTGAAAATAGTTTTTAATAGTATTTCATTGTACACATCAGGAAATGAATCGAATATTTTTCTTATTTATTGAGTGATTTTATTTTTTGATGGTCTTATGTCTATCTTTCGCAAGAATATATTATAAATTCAGATACCTAGTATAATATATGTATGTAATTAACTGCATAGTTTCAAAAAAACACAATCGGCCAAACACGAATGTTTTTGCCAGTTAAGCTAAATATTTTGCTTTTATGTCTAATATTTAAAAGAATATCTGAAGTAATTCGAATACTTACGTCATTTTTTAAAATAGTGTAATCAAGTTGCATATCTTTAAATAATATCGTTCGTGTTGGTTGAAGTGTGTGGATGTGTGGTGAATTGCTTTACGTTTACCTCTGCAGATTAAAATCAACATTACATTTATTGTTAATCGCTGGTGGAACCAAATAACTTTAAATGAAGAATAGTGTGTTTACAGCCCTTTGGTATTGGTTGCGATTTTTGTACTTTCTCCACGCTCGGTACAGGTGTTCCCAAGCGGTTATTTTTAGATAAATTTTTGTGAATTGAAATTTTGGTGTGTAAAATTTGTGATGTTAACATAAAAATTTTGTTAAATACCAAAAATGCTTTACCTGCGGCAATAAAGTTCATAACAGATGTGTGAAAATTAAAGATGCTGAATTAAAAATTTTGGATAAGAATGAAAAATTTCTGTTATCTGTGATTAGGTACTGTCTTGTATTTTATTTTATTTTTATTTTTTTATTTATTTTAATAATCACTTTTCCAACAGGCCGAGAGGCCCAATTACAGGAAAAGGGGACATACAAAGACACCCAGAGACAGAGCGGGAATCGAACCCACGACCCAAGGTGTAGTGGGCAGATGCCAAGCCACCTCACCCACCGGGTCCTCACCTATTTGAAGGGACATCGAAATTAGATGTAGTTAAAGAATCACTGGATAAATATATATCTGCTATATCTAAACAGAGCGAATCACTTCAATCTCACAATTAACTATTAACAAGTTAATTGACATAGAACCACCAAATACTAAAAATGTGGAACAAGTAATTAGTAAGCCCTCTTACTCTGGTGCTGTTATTAAACAATCTTCAACTAAAAAATTGGTCTAAAGAGTTTAGACAGTACTTCCCTCGCTGTCGGAAACTTGACGACTGCATGGCTATTGTGTTTTTTTCTCATTACATTTTTGTAGTGGGAATTTAAAAAAAATTGCGATGACGTCAACATTTTTGCAAGGACACGTATATCAGTTGAGATAGATGTAGTGTAATACTAAGAATAAAATTATTGTATTCCCAAATTTTCGGGAAAATGAATTGGGTCGTTTTGAATATTGATTTTTTATAATCAATAAAATAACGAAACAATTTACTCACGTATACGGCAACTGAAAATCGTTTATGTATAAACATTCTTAATTTAAGATGACAAGCGTAACAGCATACGTGAGAGTCAAACAGAGAAACTGTAAACAAAACGACCATCGGTTTTATTGCTTCGAATTCCGCTTATTATATAAAACATTGGGTTTTATTTTAATTCTTGACGGTGAAATTCACAATTGGTTGATTATAAACATGTCTATTTCACATTCGCGGAACCAAGTGATCGCATAAAACAAATGCAGGTCTGTAATGTTAAAGTCGATGTAAATAAGCGTGCTACCCTTATGTTACAAACGAGTTTTTCCTTTAACAAATTTTGTGTCTACCAAATTGGGTTGGTTGAGGTGTAATACTAATAATAAGTGTTACCTTTAATTTAATCAATAAAATAAATTGACTTCATTAATTTTTTTGAACCACCTCTTAAGAAAATCTAAAAAATATGAATGGAATGATAAATCACAAGTACAAACTCATCATATTTTTTGCATTTTAGATAGGATTTATTCAGCAAAATTTAAGGGTGACGTCATCAATTTTTTTAGGAGGGATGAACAAATACATTTTGAACAAAAGTTTACCATGCTTATAATAACTTTAAAATATTCCCAAGATTTCAAAGCATTCGGTTTTGTAATTCCTAATTAAATCGATAAAATAAATTCACGCCTTCATTAATTTTTTTGAGTCACCCTGCATATGCAAATCCAAAAATATGAATGGAATGATAAATCACAAGTACAGACTCATCATAATTTGTACATTTTAGATACGATTTATTCGGCAAACTTTTGAGCTGACGTCATCAGTTTTTTGTAGAAGATAACCAAATATATTTTGACTAAAAATTTATTATGCTCTTTATAACCTTAAAACATCTGCAAGATTTCAAAGCATTCGGTTTTGTAGTTCCTGATTAAATCAATAAAATAAATTTACGCATTCATTAATTTTTTTGAGTCACCCTGTATATGCAAATCGAAAAAATTTGAATGGAATGATAAATCACAAGAAGAGACTCACCATATTTTGTACATTTTAGATAGGATTTATTCAGCAAAATTTTGTGGTGACGTCATAAATTTTTTAGGGGGGACGACCAAATACATTTTGATCAAAAATTTACTATGCCTATGATAATTTTAAAATATCTTCAAGATTTCGAAGCATTCGGTTTTGTAGATCCTGAGTAAATCAGTAAAATAAATTTACGCTTTAATTTATTTTCTTGAATCACCCTGTATATGCAAATCCAAAAAATATGAATGGAGTGATAGATCACAAGTACAGACTGATCATATTTTGTACATTTTAGATATGATTTATTCGGCAAATTTTCGAGCTGACGTCATCAAGTTTTTGGAGGGGATAAGCAAATATATTTTGACTAAACATTTATTATGCTCTTTATAACCTTAAAATATCTGCAAGATGTCAGAGCATTCCGTTTTGTAGTTCCTGATTAAATCAATAAAATATATTTACGCATTCATTAATTTTTTTGAGTCACTCTGTATATGCAAACCAAAAAATATGAATGGAGTGATAAATGACAAGTACAGACTCATCATATTTTGTACATTTTAGATATGATTTATTCGGCAAACTTTCGAGCTGACGTCATCAAGTTTTTGGAGGGGATAAGCAAATATATTTTGACTAAACATTTATTATGCTCTTTATGACCTCAAAACATCTGCAAGATTTCAGAGCATTCGGTTTTGTAGTTCCTGATTAAATCAATAAAATATATTTACGCATTCATTATTTTTTTTGAGTCACCCTGTATATGCAAATCCAAAAAATATGAATGGAGTGATAGATCACAAGTACAGACTCATCATATTTTGTACATTTTAGATATGATTTATTCCACAAACTTTTGAGCTGACGTCATCAAGTTTTTGGAGGGGATAAGCAAATATTTTTTGACTAAAAATTTATGATGCTCTTTATAGCCTTAAAACATCTGCAACATTTCAAAGCATTCTGGTTAGCAGATTAAAAATAAATTTCAAAATGTTGTTTTATAATTTTGATTTTTTTTCCAAAAATCTGGACGTTTCGGGTGAAAAGTCGATTCAGAGTTGTAAACTACATGTGTAGGACTATGTTATTTTATACAATTGAAAACCCATTTACTATGTACAATTTTGAAGTGACGTCATCGCATTAGTGGTGGGGATGATTAGACAAATTTTGGTTAGCGTTTTACCATCTACATGATATTCTTAATATAAGTACAAAATTTCACAACATCGGTCGAGTACTTTCGGAGATTATCTGTCTAATAAAAATCCGGGACAACAGACGGACAGACGGACAGACGGACGGACAGACGGACAGACGGACAGACAGACGGAAATGGGAGACCTATTTCTTCGTCTTCTAGGGGTCATGAAAGATCGATAAAACGTAAAAGTAGAGAGTCGGCCGACGGACTCGATTACAATACTTCCTTTGCTTACGCTCGGGAAGTAAAAACGACAATCAGCGTTCATCGCAAAAAAGATCTGAAAAATAAAGTTGACCAATAAAATGAAAGTCTCATTATAAGTTGTAATGCAAATAATGAAACTGAAAAAATCAAAGTTATTTTATGAAACATCTTAGTCGATTACAGCGTAATAGTTATTTACGATGTAAGCCCGTTATATAGAACTTTACGTGTGAGCACAGTATCTAACGAGCGAGCGATAGCGACGTTACACTATCCCTCGCCTATGAAAAAAAAATTGGGAATGGGCGCTGTAATTTTTTTTTGAGACTGAAGCTATACTAGTCGTAACAACAACGGTATCTGCGCGTACTAAACGCCTTGGAAGAAAAGGAACAAAATCGGTGTGGGGCTAAATCGGTCAGGGTCAAAATCGGTGGGGGTCTCTTATTGTTAGTATAGGTCGTGCATAGCTGAATTCTTCATAAGGTACGAAAAACGTCGGGAAACGGCCAAAAAAAGATATACGGAGATCAATACATGACGGAAAAGGTATTTGGTCACATAGGCACTCTTAGCTTATGACGATTTAAGCGTTAGAGATATCCGAACTGGATGGAAAAGTTGGTTTTAGCTGACTGATACGCCAGGCACCCGCGTCAGTGGCGTCCTCAAATTTGAGATCATAAACCAATGGTGACCGAACTTTATGTACGGTACAGAGAACATATCTAGGGGCGACATGAGCTGTAGTCTTTCGCGACGTTCGAAAGAACGAAATTTCTTTTCCAGTCTTTATCGCCAACCTTAAATTGGTGATGGCGTTAAAACTGATATTTGTTGATATTGATTATAAGCCCGACCGAGCGTAATCGATCATG